TATTATGCAGTACTTAATGGACAGAAATTCATAAATAGTCAGAACAAAAATATTTATTCATCGCCGATATTTTTAGATTTTTTATTCTCACTGATATAACACATTCGTATTTGTCAATATCGCGAATAGAAGCACCATTTATTCTATAATACAATAGTTAGATGTTTTATAGTGTAGTATACGTGAAACGTATAATAAAATAAATGTTAACAGAAATTTCAACAACCTTTATGATTTCAGTACTTGTAAAACGAGAAATTTGAAATCCGTCATTTTGTCCGGTTTCGTTGTTCTAGTCTGAAAATTGTTCTATTTTCCTGTGTATTTTGAAAGCTACAGTAGATACAAGCAAAATTGTATAAAACTTTGTGCCCCTTTTTTTTTCATTAAACATGTGAAGGTGCAGCATAAAGTGTATTACAGAAAAACATAAAGTTGTACATAGTTCACTTACTAATGTAATAAAAAAAAAAGCTTTATCAGTTGGGAAGAATCTTTGATTCATGTAACTGGAAACGCAATTCTTGGATCGACAGTTAAAGAGTCGACAGAACGAAGATATTCGGATGAAATAACGTGACCATAAAATGGCCACCTTTTTATAGACACGCTAGGGGGACAATTTCAAGGCAGTTCAAGTTGGACAAGAAGTCAAACAACCGTCGTTACCGGAAACAGAAAGTAAACTTTCAAGGAGGCGTAATTAAAACTTCACCATCAGTGTCCACCACTTAGAATGCGCATAAGGAAATCACGCAAATATAATTTCGATTCACCGGCGGACTTGATTCGCTTTAAATAACCTTCACCCAATTCCGATGTTTAAATATTCAGCGTCCCGTAATCAATGGCGTACACGTTTCGATTTAACAGGCAAATAGAAACATTTGACGATCATTTTCATTCATAAGCGGACGTCGTCGTATGTAGGATCGACGGAAATCGCACGTCTAAAGTGCAAGAAATCCGTGAACCACGACGAAATAATCAAACCTTCAACGATATTCAATGGAAATTGAACTTTATTTTAAGACAAACTTACTAACTGGGAATTTGAATACGATGCAGATGGATTAGGGCCAACCGACTAACGACTTTGACAACTGGCGAGTGAAAATTCAATTTTCTACGAGCTTATTCGCGAACATTTCTCAAAACACGTGTACAATCCCGTCTGTAAGTCATCAGAGATAAGCAAATTCATGATCTAGGTTAAGAGTTCCGAATAACGAATGAAAGATAAAAAAAAAAAAGTGTGGTCATTTTGTATTGATTAAACGTGGAAATTCCAATTTTCGTAATGAAGTAATATTTCTTCTTGAACACGTAGACAGTTGGCAAACAATTATTTAATCTCAGGAAATTGTTCAGAGATCAGCATGACAATGTTAGATACTGCTGCTTTTTACTATGTATTATTCGATAAAATTACGGAAGATAGATGAAAAAAGAATTAGCATTAAAAAAACACATTGATATATTATGAAAATATATTTATATAATTCCAAGGAAAATGTAAATTATATTCAATTCGATGTTGTATGCAATCTTAAATCTTGCGTTTAATTATTTACGGCTGATTATTATTTTGTAATATTTCTGTTAAGTAATTCTAAAAAATGTTTCAGGCGTATTCGTTACCACTATTTCATAGAAAATTATAATACATCGATGCAACTGCTTCAGGAAACTACATTTCCGTTTCGTTTCCATCTTTTACAAAATAACCAATTGGACATATGGACGAAGGCTGCATTCGAATGAACAACAAATTCCTGATTTTTACGAAGCCTTGAAATCTCGTGTATAAACCAGGAAAAACAGAGTTTATCGTTTGGCAAGAATTTGTATCTTCGTTAAAAAAGTGCCGTGACGCAAATTCTCATCAATTCTTGACGTGTTATTGTCACACCTTTTTCTTACGAAAAAAAAATTTATTATAGTTCCGTCGTTAATGAATGATGTTATATCGAGGAAAATTTACCCACATTCAAGGGGACCAGCTTTCATCGAGTGGAAAGGACCAAAGCAACGGTAAATTGATAGGGGGGTCCCCAAGGTGTCTGGGCTCGAGGATACGGCAAAAAATCCAGCTGAACAAAACGCGGGCCGATGTGACTGGCAGGCATGCAAGCGACTCGATTACACGTGTCACATACGAAGACACTCTCGTGACATCTTAACCCTATCGGGAGTTGGAATGCTTCCTGCTAGATTACGTAGTTACCCACGGGGTGTTATGGCGTGGCCAGATTTTCTTGGAAAACTGATTCCGTTGAAGAACAGGCGTGTCCCCCACTACTTTTAGACTCGAATTTCGGAGCGTTACAATACACGTTGCAGTAGTAACAACGACGTCTTTCCTCGATGACATTCTAATTTCAACTGGCTCTATAATATAATGTTTCAAGAACAAAAAAATTGCATACGCACAACCGTTCGTACGCCTAAACAGTTGGTCATAGATGAGCAAACTCATTATCTAGATAAAAAGTTTCGAATAACGAATAAAAGATAAAAAAAAAAAAAGTATTTCGTCATTTTTAATTACTTAAAGGTGGAAATTTCAATTTTTATAATAAAATAATACTTCTTTATGAATGAAACAACATTTGTCGAACAATTGTTTAACCTCATTAACTGTTTAAAGCTAAGAACGACGCCCTTAGATACTGCTGTTTTTCACTGTGTATTACTCGAATAAAATTCTGCCCAACTCTGGCGGAGACCTGAGCGACCGAAGGCGAAAGCGCACACGAAGGATTTACCGCTGTGATATTATCGAGCACCCGCGGTGCTGAACATGTCACAATACGCTCTGACCTGTTTCCAACGCGACGACAAGCCCGATGGTGGGCCGTGCGCAAAGTGTTTCCGCGGCGATGGCCGTGTGTTCATCGGAATGCCACCGTCGGAAGTAAATCCCGCAAGAACGGATTCCAGTGACGATGCACCGTCCGTTCTCCGGTGTAATCAGGCAAATACGCGGGGAGGGCGTGATTAGCGGAAAACACGGGCTGCTGGTTCTCGCCAACAGGCGTTAGGTCGATAATCCACAGAGAACGGCGACGACACGTGAACGTGAAAAGAGGAAAAAGATGAGAAGGGAGTCAATTCTAGCCCCTTAACCCCTTGGCGTATACTTCGACGAGTCTGACTCGTGATTATAATTTTAGGCCGAACTTGAATATCACGAGTCAAACTGGTGGTCACAATTTATCGTGGTGTCAATTTTTGGTCATATATTAGGTATGGTTATAGTGGAGATAGCGGTTGATGGGGACAAGGGCTAAAATCTAAACAATCTCGATAGTAGGGAACCTGACAGCTCGAGTCGAGATTCAAACCCTAAAGGTAATACATTATTATATTAAAACATTTATATAATTATATAATTACAATTCCATAAATTGTATGTACAGTTATTTGTGCAATGCAAAAATATTAAGAACGTTTTTAATTAAGTTAAAAATTCAATGGAATATAGAAAGTGTCTGTGTGTAAATTTTGTTTACTCTAATTCAATTTAAACGATTTAAAAATCATCGTTATTATTATGATGTACATCTTGTAAATGTCCTTTCTTGTTTTTTTTTTTCCGTAGAATAAAATTGTTATTCGGAATACAATGTGCCCAATTCTGACTAGGACTCGAGAAAGTACTATTTACCATTCGTTCGAAGAAAGAGCTAGATACTTCTATTTTTGAGAAATATCAATAAATGACTGTGAACCTTGCTTGTTTCATGGCCCATATTGCGAAGAAAACTAGTTCTGTTGGCATATATTATAGTAAAGCTAACCTAACATGCCTGGGCGAATACTAATTGACGATAATGGCATACAGGTATGTATTTCCTGGCTAAATGGTCAACCGCTCGCAGGTGAGTCGCACAATGTCCCAGTCACGAACAGAATTCACGACGGCGCACAGTGGACAAAATAATTCTCCTGATATTAAGCAGTATTCCACGTTCAAAGATCCACAAAAAAGATCAAATGAATTATTCATTCTCGATAACATACAAACAGAAAACAGTGAATAATTTTATGCCAAAAATTCGTTAAATTAAAGGAATTGTTAATTTAATTTTCTGCGAATAAGAGTATAATCTTCTGGATACTTATCATTAAATTTAGACATTTTATTCCAAATTCTATCATTTGGTCGCAGTCTGCGACGCTGGGAAACCAGAACGATGCATCAAAGACGATTCAATCGTCCAAACGAACCCTCTCGACCCTGATCGCCTCTAAACGATCCAAGCCGATTGTCGGGTCTTCCCGTGCGTGGATGGATCGTAGGTGTAATGTTTTTATGCGATTGCAAAGTACACACGTGTTTATACTATCGATCGTTCTCCACTGTGTGTGTTTCCCACGATTAGCAATCGACCAACGGTGTTCCATCAAAGCTCCCGTCATTCGAATTGGATGTCGCGGAATCCTTTTTTCCTCCCGTCCCGTAATTCAAGGATACACTTGAACCGAGTAAACGTTCGTTTCAGAATGATTAGCATCACACGACCCATCTCTGTAACCGTATATGGACGGCTGGTGTGACCTTAATACGCCGAGCGACCGATCAAACGACCGAGGATCCGTCATTAGACGGCAAAGGGGAATTTAGCTTCAGCTAACGATCGACCGATAGAAATTACCCTGCTTCCAATTCCGTTAATAATACGATTAACATCTAACTGGAAACGAAAAAACGAAATTACTTTCCGAACAACCCGATAAAACAACCTTTATTCCGCGGTGGGTACTTGTTCCCTGGAGACGGGTAACGAGATCGGTTCGCCACGAGGGCTTTGGCTTCCGGGTTATCGCGTCCCGCTGTGTTTCTTCTTTTTGATTTTTCAAGGCACGAGACCCACTTGAATATCGAAGACCTGCCTCGAATATCGAACGCAGACGCGCCCCTGTTATCGTCGCCCAACCGCCCCCGCTGTTGTGTTCGGCTTATTCAATGATTTAGAAGGAAAATCATCTCTTACCGGATTTGTTATCCATGAGGTCCCTGTACCCGTGCACCAGATCCGCCACTATAGTCGTCATCTTGGCTCAGCTCTGAAACCAGACACAAAGGGTGTTCGTTTTACTCCGGTGAACTGAAGGAAATCTCGCCTCCGCGGATCGATGAGCTGTGCAGAGGGTGATACGAAAAAAAGGGGTTCTAGGGTATGTAGGTACTCGCCAAATGATGGGAAAAAAAAAAAAGAGTCTTAATAAACGTAGGTCGAGAAATTGATATTTTCAAAGTTACAGACAATTTTTTGTTTTGCTGAAAGTTGTAAGAAGACTAATAAAATTTGTGGGGAAAAACCTGAAACCAGGAAAAAACGAAATTATGGATATGCCATTGCTTCCATACAAATACGACAGCTCTCGAGACGAGAAGATTACTAGCTTAACCAGAAGAAAAAATTATTTACAACTTTGAAAATATTGATTTGTCGACCCATATTTATTAAGAGTTTTTTCGTTATTTGACGAATACTATCTACTTCAGAAGCTATGGACCCTTTTTTTTACCTTGTATACAGTAACGTGTGTGTGTGTGTAAAGCGATCATCTCTTAATTAATGTAAAATCACACGACATGTATCACAATTATTATAATTTTATAGGAGCAGTTAATTTATTTTCTATTTCCGGTTGGAATGTTATTCCATGATTAATTTTATCAAAACAACATTTAATAATTATGTCCATTAGCTACCGTTTTTTTTTTTTTTTTTTCAGAAAAATTTCATTAGAACCTGTATAACGTAATGTACCAGGTATAATTCAAGTATAATCATCCAACATCAGTACCTATTTCGCCGTCAATAGACGACGATATCGGTTATACACCTAGCGAATAGCGTCCTATAGAAGCTCGAGTGGAGGGAGGCTAATGAGAAGGAGTGGGATTCACGCAAACATTCGTTTTACGACCTTCGTACTGTTTCACGAAAAATCCCCACTGTCTCCTTAAACCTAACGATCATTCGAGATTTTGCGATTGGTTCCCAGATTTATTCCATTGATCCTTGACAACAAGGATTTTCGCATAAATCATACACGATTATTGCGAAGTAAACAAGGGAAAGTTTCTTGCGACATGTTCCAGAGATGCGAACAGTTTATAATCACAGAAACACCAATTAAAGGGAAACATTTTTTTTTCGTCTAGACTTTCAATTGTGCTTGTATTTATGGAAATTTATGAAAATTCGCAGTTCTTAGCTAGTAAATAATATAATTGACAATTATATAAGAATTTACTTTCAATTTTTGGATGTTTGTATTAGTAATGGCACAGATATAACAGTCTTTGGTACACCACGTTTTGATAGTTACGATCGAAATTCAGGAAAGCCTCTTGTATCTGAATTACATAATAACGAAGAGATACGTTTTCGGATGAGACAATTCTAGGATAATAGAACAAACATTTTTCCGATACTCAACCTCAGTTATTTAAATAGAAATCAAGAAAATTCGACAGTTTGTTTAAATATTTATAGATCCTGTATCTTTCTATGGCTGCTAAATTATAAAAATTTTTATATATAGAATTCAATCGAACAGAATAAAGTATATATAGTATTTCAACGCTACGTATTTTTTTAACAGCAGAAGGCATCGGTTGCTGGTAGACACTGTTCGTATAACAGAACGTTCGAATATTAGATTCAGATAATGGGTGTTCGGATACGGGAGGCTTTACTGTACAAAGAACCTCTGACCATTCTATTCTTCGTAAACGTCTACTACTCACTGTAACATACACACTTCTGTACACTACATGTCATACTATTTAATTTATGCACGACGAGTTCTTTACTCAACAAATTGATGCAAAAACGAAGCTATGAAAAATAGTTACTAGGTAATCAATTACCCTCATTGCACGAGTCAGATGTCCTTGTCTTGTTCTATACACATGATTGCATTGCATCGTAAATCGACATTTTAAACATTACTATCAATCAATTTTCATCGAGCAATTAATCACATCCCTACAACTAGCTATACGAGGTGACTGGTCCGTATCATCGATTATCACTTGAATTTTCTATTACAGATTATTATACTTTCGGTGGTTGTCAATGGTTAAATAGCAAAACCGCAAAAACTCAATTCTTCAATACAGAAGACCACTATGTTAATTAATGTGAAACCACTTTGCACTAATGTTATCCACAAATAATTCCATTTGTGTCGATTATTATTTAACAACAAGAAACAGATGAAATCAGGAAACGACACTGCAAGCACACGATTTTCCACTAATCCTTGGTAAATATAAAATAAACAACGAGAAACAGATGAAATCAGGAAACGACACTGCAAGCACACGATTTTCCACTAATCCTTGGTAAATTAACACCAGAGCTAATAACGTCGAGAAACACACATCTATTCTAATCAGTCGATAAACATGACACTTTTCAAAATTTACAATTTTATAAATTGACCATTTAAAAAAAAAAGGCAAATTTAAAAATTTATAAATCCTGCAATTTTTAATTTATAAATTATAATTTCTTCACTGTCCTATCGTATAAAACTTGCAAAAGATCTGAGGAAATGTATTATAATAACATTTCGATTATCGTTACAAGAACGTACTGACGAGTCACCTTTACTTGCTTAGTAGTTCCTAGTGTCAATACCACAGAAATCGTTGGTAAGATGGTGTGTGATGATTCGACTGCGGATTTTTATGCAAAATAACATTTTCTAACGTACTTTATAAAGACAAGAACAAACGTAGAAATTTATTTTTCCTCTTAACACTAGAAGTACCAACGATAAACTCATATTTGCTTCGATCGGTGGATAAACGTGAAAAACTTTTGAAAATTTACAAATTTAGAAATTGACTAATTTTTTCACTTTCATGTCGTAATAAAAGGTGCAAAAGATCTGAGAAAATTTATTGTCACAACATTTTAATTGTCGTTGTAAGAGTGTATTGACAAGTCATTTGACTTGCTTGGTAGTTGTAGTGTTAAGTATCTTATTGGATTCGAATTAAAATAGAAAAATCATTGGATCCGATGAAAGTTTAGTCTTTTATTGCATTTCACAGAGCCCTATGGGCTATAAATGCATAAAATCCGCAGTCTAATGATGATGTACGATGATGTATAATTCCGAATGATTTGACACAACTGCGTTAAACACAGAAACTTCAATATAAACGTACCAACGTGACGTATGTGTATGTGTTCTAGTTGTGTGCTGGCTGATCGATGTGTTCTTGTTCACGGTAAAATGTATTCTGTTGGATGATGGAACGCACGGAACGTTTGTTGCAACGGATCGACGTGCGATTGGTGGAAAATACAGGATTTTGGTTGGTGTAAGTTGTGAAAGAAGTGGATAGTACGAGGTGGAAGAAGTGGGGCTTTGGTGTGCGTATTGTTTCCGGGATTCCTGGAAGTCAGCGTCGAAATACAATAAGGAAATGGTCTTAGGACAGTAAATGTTTCGCACGTAATGCGCAGCTGGTCCAGGAATTGCCGTTTATGACGGCTTGCTGACCGTATTGACGGCCAAAAACGACCCAAAACGGACCAAAACACGACCACCGCCAACCTGCGTAACGTCGCAACAACAATGATATACGTGTCCATTCAAACGGGGATTCCAATCATTGGATGAACTTATCGACAAAAACAACTTCCTCACCGATATTCAATAATCATCGATATCAATGAAGAAGTGGTTCTTCGATAAGTTGACCAACAATTTTATTAAAAAAATATAATAATAATAACGATCGTACGAGGCTTGAGCAATTTGAATGTTAACAGGGATTACACAACATGTTACACACACGCGCCAGCAAATGAGAGGAAGATTTCGCGACGAAGTTTCGGTCGAAGCGACACTGTCCTCGTTCCCGTTTTTTAATACTCTCATCTCTCGACCAGCTGAACGATGGCACAGAAGCCGGAGTAATCTGCGAGGTTCAAAGACTGCTCGATTTGGGGAGAAAGAAATGCATTCATTCAGAAGGCTCTGACGAGACTATAATCAAAGGAAACGAGACGCGCGCGCCCCAGCGCATTTTTCTCTATCCCTCGGTGGTCCTTGGGTACAATATCCACGCTGTTACGAACGAAAATGTTGAGAATTTTATCGAAATAATGCACGATTATCAAAACTTCGTATTGAATTTTCCAAGTAACAGTCGATTTAATTGTCCAGTTGGCTTTGTAACATTTCTTTTCTTGCTGTTGGTTCTTTAATACTGGCAACATTTGTTAGCATAACGTAAAAAGTCTTTTCCAATTTGGTATAATAGTAATTATTTTAAAAATAGTTTGAAAATCGATTTTTTTTATATTCGTATAATGTAAAGATAGAATAAAATTGATCACTTGCAACGTTTCTTTTTCTTTCTATACATTATCAAAATATCCAATAACAAACGACATTTACTATTTTCTTCGACATTCTGAAAAGTCGCAAATTTTTCAAAGTTTTTTAACATCATTTAGTACACTAATCCTTCTAACTACACAAAGAAACTCAAGTCACTTGGTCCAATTTTAAAACAGTTGTTCCGTATTAAAGGATACAGGAATACTTTGTTTACCCACTGTATATTGCAAACTAGACGACTTAGAACGAAAGAATTTTTACCATCGGAAAGAGTGAAACTTAATACACTCTGGCTCTGGGGTCCAGATGTAAAGACATGCTTTTTCTATCCTCGAGAATTAATTCGACACCGAAGGGGTTAACTAATAGCGTCCACTGCAGAATATGCAAAACAGGATTAAAACAGCGTGCAAATATCCAAAGCTGAAAATCCGACAATTAAACGGTCGTTATTCTTCGTACGCGCTCGTTTTTCGCCCGGACAACATTAACGGTGCCGTTCCATGGGACTAAACCGTCGGTGGAAGGGTTTACCGACCGATCGATCATCCTCGAGGGGAGCGAGGAAAGTCGTTAACGGTGGAAGTGCGTGCGAAATGCAGAGTGGGATAAGTGTTCGCGAAAATCCACTCGTGGGGGCTGCCTCTGTGTGGTAGCCCACTGGTTTTCGCGGCACCATAAAGCGC